CGGCCCAACCCCCCAATGTGCATCGCGCCTAGTCATAACGTAACGGTGTCACGCGTAACGCTGGCACGGTTTGGTTAGGTTAGGTTAGGTTAGGAAGAGCACGGCTGGCTGTCGTGGCGAGCGCACAGAATAAGACGAACAATTAATTGAAAACGTACAAAGATAATAAAGATGGTAATTTCGAAAGATGGTTATTGGTATGGTTTGGTAATACGGTTCGTTAACGACTGACTAAAAATCGGTTGCGACAAAACTCTTGAAGTTTTTGCGGTGGGTAAAGCGCATGCCCGAACGCTCGATAGTTAATATTTGTCTCGGGTGAGTGCGCTGACGCTCGCTAATTCGCGGTGCGGTCTAGCGCGTTCGAACGATTCCGAACACACCGCCCCCCCGTTGAATGAATGAATTCAACAATAACATTCGGTTCTGTTATGGTGAAGTGCATGATTCCATTGAACTTCGCTTACATGGTTTTGGATAACGACGCAAAGGTAAGTACAACATTTATACTTATTCTTACTTAATAATTCTAACTTAAAACTAAATTCGCAATACATTGAACAATTGAACGGTTTCTCGCGGACACGTGGACAATAGGATACGATTCGAAACACAGGTTATGAATTACGTCGCGGCGTGGTTTTCGTCATTGATCGCAATGGGAAGAAAACATAACTTTGAAAGTGGTCGTTTGTATTCGGAATTAGCAGTTTTGACTGTGACTACGCGAACGAGACCATCGGCTCCTGGGTGACACGCAATAATTCTACCGAGTTCCCACTGACTCGGAGGAAGATTCGAGTTCCGAACGAGGACGAGCTGACCGACTTTTGTCAAATTTTGAACGGTTCGCCATTTTGGGCGTTGATGAAGCGTATGTAAGTAATCGTTCTGCCACGATTTCCAAAAGGTTTCGGTCAGTCTGTGCACGAGCTGCCATCGAGATAATCGGTTTTCTTTCAGTTCGAGAACGCTGGGCTCCGGTTGAGCCACGAGAGGGGTCCCGATTAAGAAATGACCTGGTGTTAGTGCTGAATAGTCGTCGATGCATTCCGACATGTGCCCGATCGGTCGAGAATTGAGGCACGCCTCAATACGGCACAACAACGTAGTTAGTTCCTCGAAGGTTAGTGTGTGAGATCCGATCGTTCGCTTTAAGTGGTGTTTAACGCTTTTCACGGCGGCTTCCCATAATCCTCCAAAATGCGGCGCATTCGGAGGTAGGAAATGCCATGAAACACCTTGCGATGCTAAGGCATTCGCAAAATTAACATCTTTGATCGCGGAAATATAGGCTGACGCGAGTTCGCGATTCGCTCCATGGAATGTGGTGCCGTTGTCAGAATACATCGAGGTTGGTAAACCGCGTCGGGACACAAATCTATGGTACGTTGCGATGAAGGCTGCGGAACTATAATCGCTTACTAATTCGATGTGAATCGCTTTTGTGGTCAAACAAACAAAAATCGCAATGTATGCTTTTTTTGATTTGTGTCCACGGCCTGGTGTAGTTCGGACTTGAATCGGGCCTGCATAGTCGACCCCGGTATGAATAAATGGACGCTCTACCTTATTGACGCGAGGGGCAGGCAAGTCTCCCATGAGTTCGTGAGGCACAGCGGCTTTTTCACGAGTGCACGCGAGACATCGATGGATTACGGCTCTTATTGTAGTTCTCGCTCGTATGATCCAATATTGGTTTCGGAGATAGGCTAGTGTTAATTTAAGACCGGCGTGGAGAAGGTTACGGTGGGTGCTTTCAATGAGCAGCGATAGGAGAGGATGGGCACTTAGAATAATAGGAGTTTTGGCTTGTTCCGTTAATTGTGCATTTGCGAGTCGACCTTTAGCTCGAATTAACCCATCTGACCCTATAAATGGATTTAAAGAATTTAACTGACTCGATGATGACACAGTACGGCCTTCACTAAGTACTTTTATTTCTATAGGAAAAACGTCACCCTGGATCCGCCGCAACCACAACAATTTTGAACGGTGGATCTCATCAGGAGTTAACGCGAGGAGAGGCGTCTTTGCTGAAGTGGTAAGTAAATCCTTTCCTTTACTTTTTGTTCGGATATTTTCTAAGAAACGCATAATATAGGCAGTTACTCTGAGTAATTTTGGCCAAGACGAATATCGGTTTTCTAAATCTAAAGGAGCTGCATTAGCGGTCAAGATTTTAACTATTTGGGTTTTTTCTTCAGCTAAGGCATCGGAGGCTACTTCGTAGCATGAACGCGGCCAATCGATTGGGTCCCTTTGAAGCCAGTGAGGTCCGAGCCACCACAATCGGTGAGATTTCAACTCTTTTAATGAAATTCCCCGGGAGGCACAGTCGGCCGGATTGTCATCTGTTGGAACGTAATGCCATTTTGCTTCCGGGATGAGATTTTGTATTTTGGCAACACGGTTTGCAACAAAGGTTTTCCACCGTGAGGGTGACTGGCTCACCCATGTTAGAGTTATACTCGAATCCGTCCAACAGTGACAATCCATCTCCTGGCCCTTCAAGGAAGTTCGAATAAACTTGATCAAACGCGCAAGTAGCAGGGCTGCGCATAACTCCAAACGAGGCACGCTAACGGTTTTTACTGGCGCAACTCGTGTTTTGGCCATGAGAAGGGCAGTGCAAATCGAACCATCATCGAGAACACTCCGTATATAAACAACTGCAGCAAATGCCTTTGTTGAAGCATCTGCGAAGCCATGAAGACTTTGGGTCACAAAGATTTTCGAAGAAATTTTCCGAGGAATTGTTAACGAATTGAACTCCGAAAATTGCGAGCAAAAGGTGTGCCATTGTTTAAGAAAATCTGGCGGAACGGTATCATCCCAATCACATTTTAAAGCCCACAATTGCTGGATGAGGATTTTGGATAAAACAACGAAAGGAGCGACCCAGCCCATTGGATCAAATAATTTCGCTATGGATGAAAGAATTTCACGTTTAGTGGAACTTTGACTTTTTGGCATCGCTGCATGGAATTGAAATTGGTCAGTCACGGGATTCCACATTAAACCAAGAACAGAAATACTCTCATAAATCTGTAGCGATTTACTTACTGCTAGGCCGTGATTGGTTTCTTCGATATCGGATAATAATCGTCTATCGTTGCTAGCCCATTTTCGCAGTGAGAAACCTCCCTTTTGAAGCAACTCGATGGTTTGGTTTCTTATTCGACGCAACGCTGAGATACTATCGCTTCCGAATAAGAAGTCGTCGACATACGATTGATTTCTTAAAACCTGAACAGCGTCAGGGTATGAAGAACCTTCATCCTGGGCTAATTGCTGCAGTACTCTGAGAGCAAGATACGGAGCGGGGGTTGTCCCATAAGTGATAGTAAGAAGTTGGTATTCGTCAATAATATCGAGAGGAGATTTTCGCCAAAGGATGCGTTGGAAATCGACATCTTGAGGGTGAACCCGGATTTGCCTGTACATTTTCTCAATGTCGGCAGAGTAAACATATTGAAATTGGCGCCACCGCACAAGTATCGCAGTGATGTCTTGTTGGAGTTTGGGTCCACTGTATAAGTGGTCGTTCAAGGATTGCCCATTTGAGGAGCGGCTCGAGGCATTAAATACAACGCGAAGATGCGTCGTTGAGCTTGTTTGACGAATAACGGAATGGTGAGGTATGTAATATACCTGATGATTGGATTGGTACGGAAGAGGATCTGCCTTTCTCATGTGCCCGAGAGCTTCGTACTCTGACAGGAATTTCTGGTACTCGGATAAAGTGCCTGCGTCCCTATTCAGTCGATTTTCTTGAATGCGCAAGCTTTTTATGGCTCCTAATCGAGAGTCCCCTAGCTGAATAGGTCGGTCGCCTTTAAACGGCAATCGAACTAAATAACGACCGTCCGACGTTCTAGTATGCGTTTCTTGAAAATGTTGTTCGCACTTTTGCTCATCTGGTGTCATGATCGAGGTGTTAGGAAGGTCCTCAATTTCCCAAAATTTTTTCAGCGTCTGGTCGAGGTTTTCGAGGACGGACACATGGTGGACAGTGACCGGATTTGGAGTAGGATCGGCACGACACGGTCCAGACAGGATCCAACCTAAGGTTGTGCTTTGGGCCGTCGGGGTAGACGCTGAGCCTCGTACTAGGCCTTGGAGGAGTAGCTGCCCATATAAGTCCGCACCGATAATTAGGTCAATTGGCTCAGAACTCATGGGATCCTTGTCGGCGAGTGTTAAACCTGAAAGGTGAGACCATTCAGTATTGGTTTTTTGGCGTAATGGAACATACCTGGTTAATGTTTTCAAAATAATAGCTGTAGTCGAGTATGCAGGCTCGTTGTTTTCAGCGGGGGTAATTACAATTGCGGCCATTTGATGTGCGAGTGATTGTTTTTCGCCGATTCCGCTAATTCGCGTTTGTTGTTTTGTCCTCTTAAGACGGAGCAATTGCGCTAAATTTTCGGTAATAAGCGTTGCTGTCGACCCTTGGTCAAGAAGCGCTCTGGCATTAACGCAACGGCCTTGCAGAGAGTGCACTCGTACTCGCGCTGTTGAAAGAAGGATTGTTACATTAATTGCGGTGTTGGAAGCTAAGTTTGAACTAATTTCTACTTGGTTTTCTGTAACGACTGGGCTTGTTCTTGATGCCTCCACAGTGGCGTTGTTGACAATCGGAAAGTGCAACAGCGTATGGTGTTTTTGATGACACTCTTTACAACAATGCGGGCTTTTACATTGTGCTGACGAATGGCCGACAGAAAAACAGTTTAGACAACGCTTTTGCTGTTTTATTATGTTATAGCGCTCGGATGGAGTTTTTCCTAGAAAATTAGAACACTGATACAATAAATGGTTTTGTTTACAAACCGCGCACGAAATTTTGGTCGCTGTTGTTGAATGGGTATGGAAGGGTTTTCCGTAATTCGATTTTAATTTTTCGGGTTCGCTTGGTTTGTCGCGTTTGCTGACCGGTATCACTTCTAACGCTCTAATTCTTTTTTCCAGGAACGCGTCGAATTCGCTGTATTTTGGAAACTCGGTAGTGTCACCCAGATTTAACTCCCAAGCTTTACGAGTCGCACGATCGAGTTTTTGCGCACCGAGGAAAACGATTATGTCACCCCATGAATCGACCGGTCTCCCAAGGTTTCGGAGCATCTCAACTGACATGTTTATTTTGTCGCGTAACGCGCGAAGTTCGGTTGGAGTTTCGGACGAAACGGTTGGTAACGAAAACAATACATGTAGGTGAGTCGATATTAGTCGGCGTTTGTTATCGTAGCGCGACGTTATTATTTTCCAAGCAACTTCAAAATTACTTTCAGTTACAGGAAGGTGACTCACCGCTTGGCTCGCTTCGCCCTTCAACGACGTATACAAAAAGTGTAGACGCTCCACGTTCGACAGCGATTTGTTTTTAATTACCATGGAGGTGAACCTGTCCCGATAGCTCTCCCACTGCTCGAACGTTCCCTCAAAGGTTGGAAGGTGAATCTTGGGTAGGTGGGCCGTTGGTTGTGACGTCATCACGTTTGAATTGTTTCCGTTACCCACTGCTGGATTAGGTGGAGGAGTAACCGATGATAGGATCTCCGCCATGTAGTCCAAAGCCTCTTGGTATTTTTCTTCCGAAGTTGCAAAATGGTCCTCCACGAAGTAGGGTAATGTAGCCTTCAATTTTTTGTCGGCTACTGCTGCGATTTTCGCATCCAGATCCCGGCATTGCGAAAATGCTTCTTTTAATAAAGCCATACGATTTTGAGTCGTAGCGATTGTCATTTTGGCTTGACCCAATTTTTTAAAGTTAGTGACCGCTCGATCTATGGAACGCATTGTTTGCGCCTGTTTTTCGAGCAACTCTTCTATCGAATTCATTTTTTATTAACGTTTTGGTACTTATTTTTAGATCGGCGTCTTCCCGGGTCTTCTTCCTCGACTCCAATCCGGCTCGAAGGACCAAAAAGACCGATATAAAGGCTTGTTCCTCTTTGTTGGGTGTGGGAGATGAGCAGGAGCTGATCAACGTTTGATTGGAATTTCGAGGGCAATCCAGTGAAGATTTTCAATGAAGAATTTAGACACGACTTTAGCTCGATAGA